CCTGCCTTAGCCTTCAATTATCTGGGGTTACAGACTTGTGCCATCAGTCTGATTTTGAGCAATTTATCTTTATTCACTTATGAAGAGTTTGAACAATGTTCACTATGTGTGGACTGTGATGTATAAAGTTGTTTTTCAAAAGTTGGATATTAGAAAGATTTGTGATATATCCTCCTAGCCCTAGCACTCAGGAGACCCAGACAGGAGGATCATGAGTTGGAGGCCAGCTTAGGCTACATAACAAGATCTAGTCCCAGCCTGGGCCACATAGTGAGATTGTTTCTCCAAAAAAGTAGATCAGTTGGTAGGACTTTAAATGTGGCTCATTCATAATCAGCATTTGCTGTCTATTTTGGGATTGAGTGTTGAATGGCCTGGAACTCACAGTGTAGACCAAACCAAGCTGACCTCAAATTCACACATAACCTGTCTCTGCCTCCAGAGAAATTAAAGGTATGAGCCACCATGCCAGGCCATAAGCAGTATTTCTTACACAATCCCTGTGCTTATAGACATGTTCGGTACTGTGGAAGAGTCAGCAAACAATAACTAGCTCTAAAAAAAAAAAAAAAAAAAAAAAAAAAAAGCAAAAAAAATTATTAAAAATGCTAGGACTGTATTTATATCATTTTTCTCTTACCCCTCACCTCTTCAGTCCCTTTCATGACCCCCGAGTCCTTCTCAAATTTATCACTTCTTCTTTAATTGTTAGTGGTGTGAACATTTGTGCTTGCATGTGTGTAGTTCTGACTACTCGTATTGGATAACTTATGGGGCCTCATCCCTGTAGAATAGAAGACTGACTCTTCCTCTCTTGCCAGCTATTTATTGCCTGTAGCTCTTTTTTCTTTTCTTTCTTTCCTTTTTGTTTTTTCAAGACCGGGTTTCCCTGTGTAGCTTTAGAGCCTGTCCTGGAATTAGCTCTTGTACATCAGGCTGGTCTTGAACTCATACAGATCTGCCTGCCTCTGCCTTCCAAATGCTGGGACTAGAGGGACCGCTGGCTGCCTGGCTTTGCCTGTAGTTCTTAATCTAGAGGTGAGACCCTGTAAGATTTCCTCTATCAGTGTTGGAATGTCAGCTGGTGTAGTCATTGTACAAGACTTGTTCAGACAACTCAAATAATTCTTAAGGAAGTAGGGAGAAAAAAAAAAAAAGAATAGACTTCTCCAAGGGAGGTAGAGTGTTTTAAAAGCTCGTGCGCGTGCGCACACACACACACCTAAAATAAAAGTAAGGACAGTGTCATGGCGGAGTACAGAAAAGTTAAGGGACATAAGAGATTTCACAAAGAGGTGTTCATTTCTGTTGATGCTTTGTTTCTCTTGCTATAATGAGTTGAATCAGGTCCCGAGCCCCAAGCCTCTTGTGATGAGTAAGTTATCTTTAACACCTCGGGTGGGATGGATAGGAGGTAGAGGTTCTTGGTAGGTGCCCATTGAATCATCAGTGTGAGATAGTACCAGTAGCCACATGTTCAGGAAATAACTGACAAAGTGATTTTACTCAAGTTTACTTTTATGAGCTTTTCTCGGGTTTCTACTGTGAATTAAAAACCCTGCAGAGACAAGAACAAATAGAACTATCCCCTCTGTCAGTAATGAGCAGAGAGCTTGAACATAGTAATACAGCTAAGTACAGAATAAGACAGAGTAGTGATTGGAATGTAGGAAAATAAACAAATGGCTATGGCAACCCAGAGGAAGCCATTGTCATGATATTATCTGCTGGAAATCAGTTAAAGCTTCATACAGGAAGTGATATTTGACTGGACCTTGAAAATGAATGGCATTTTGAAGGTGGAAAAGATAGGAGCAGGCCTGGCACAGACAGGAAGTAGTATAAAGAAAGACATGTAAACACAGGATGTGAGCCCTTAGTAATGGAGAATAGTCAGGGCTAAGTTAGAGAGCTATGTAGGGCTGGGCTGGCTGTGATGGACTTTAATGCCTGTGCTGCAATAAAGACTATTCTGTAAGCAGAAGAGAGCCAGCCACCTTTTTCTTCCTTCCTTCCTTCCTTCCTTCCTTCCTTCCTTCCTTCCTTCCTTCCTCCCTCCCTCCCTCCCTCCCTCCTTCCCTCCCTTTCTTCCTTCCTTCCTTCCTTTCTTTCTTTCTTCATTCCTCCCTCCCTCCCTTCTTCCTTCCTTCTTTTCTTTCTTCCCTCCTTCCTTCCTAGGAGGCAATAGGATCCTATTTTGTGTGATTGGGCTCTGAATGAATGGCTTAGAGGGAAACTGAGTGACATAGGTAGGAATCATAGTGGCTCTTGATCAGAGATGAGAAAGGCATGTAGAAGGTGGTAGGCAGGAATGCAAGCCAGAAAGATGGCTTAGCAATTCAGAGTATTTGCTGCTCAATCCTGAGGACCAGACTTCGAATCCCTGCACCTATGTCAGACAGCTTACAAAACCTAAAACTCCAGCTCCAAGAGATCCATTTCCCTCTGCGGACCTTCATGTGCACCCACACAGAAATGTGCACACCCTACACATGTAAATTTTTTTAAAAAAATATGGAAACAGAACAGGAGAGACAGATTCAAGATACACAAGATAAAGGTTATGAATGTTACCCAACTCAAAGGGAGAAAAGGAAAGAGGAGCTAAAGGTGATACCAGTGTCTTTAGTCACAGGTAGGTCCACCATTAGTGAACCCCCCCCTGGGCGCATCACTGGAAGAGCAGACCTGATTTGGAAAATGGTCTTCTTACAAACGGGTGCTGGGAATCCAGGACAGGAACTTATTAAGACTCATAAGCGAAAGTTTCCCAGTCGAGGGAGAGTAGAAGCTGTGGTTCCTGAAAAGTTAACCCTGAGGAGATCCAGAGCATGGAGAGGCAAAGCCAGCAGGTCCTCACTGGCAGACTCCTTCTCTGGCAGTTAGAAAGAAGGAACACAGAGAGCCAAAGGAGACATAGCTGCCAACAGGAAGGAGGGTAAGAGCTCAGGAGAAGCTCCAGGTAGGTAGGTACCGAGTCTTCAAGATGATAGGGTTGCAGGGAATGTGGTGTGCATGGGGCAAGACATAGTTCAACCTGTCCCAGGGGCTGTCCAGAGATCAGAATGTTTATATGCTGTGGCCTTTATCTTTAGACCTGTTTTGTTTGGTTTTTGTTTGTTTAGACAGTGGCTCACTGTGTGACTATGGCTGACCTGAAACTCTCTGTGTAGACCAAATCTATCTGCCTCTGCTTCCCAAGTCCTGGAATAAGGTGTCTCACCATGCTCAGCAAGCCTGCCATTTGTTTCTTTGTTTTTTTGAGACAGGGTTTCTGTGTAGCCCTGGCTGTCCTAGAACTTGTTCTATAGACTCAGCTGTCCTGGAACTCAGAGATCTGTCTGCCTCTACCTCCCAAATGCCAGGATTAAAGGCATGTGCCACCACCACCAAAGCCTGCAATTCTTGCCTTGTATTTTAGCATTGTTCCCAAAGATGGCTCCTCTGTGTCCTTTATTCCTTAGACTAGTGAGAAGAGAAAATGGAGGCAAGACTGTTAAAACAGAATTGAAGATAAAATGTAAATGTCCTATTGAGAAGGCGCCCATGTATTTCAAGCACTAGGCCAACCAGTGGACTCCAATAAATGAGATATGGTGCCTACTCCAAAACCAGAAGGAAAAATAATTGTGGAAACCACATCAGGAAGACCAGTGTCCTTAGCCCTATCTTAATGCTACTGTTGTGAACTACCTACCAGGCTATATAGAGAAGGGACAGAAGCAGGTACCTCACAAGAAGCTGTCTAGTTACCCAGTCTTGCTCAAACTATGGTCTGTGACCATTAACTTCAGGACCAGCTTTGGGAAGAAGATACAAAGTCACTGGTGCTTGTCATAAGTATGTATCCAGACAGGTTGTCTTCCTATAGAGATAGACTCAAAGTCCATAGGACAGGTGCCAGATGGAGGTCAGTGAAGCTTTCTGCTGCTTTTAGTGGCCCACTGGACACCTTCAGGCCCAAGTGAACAACAGTACTTTCATCTGGGTATGGTACCTCACACTGGGCAATACCAGTACTCAAGAGGCAAAAGCAGGAACCATGAACTCCAGGCCAGCCTGGTCTATATAGACAGATCCAGGCAAACCAAGGCTGTAAGGTCCAAGCCTGCTCCAAAAAGGTGGGGTGGGAGTCAGACCTTTTGCATCATTGAGGCTGGAGGTGAAAGGAAAAGTATCAGCTCAGGACCCCCAAGACCAGTTCTCAGCACAGAGGAGATTGATTTGCCCCAGAGGGACAGAGAGCAGGGAATAAGAGACAAAGACAGGAGATAGAGGGAGAAGGGGAAGGGAACAAGGGAAATGGGGCAGGATATTTGCCCCAAAGAGTCAAAGGACTGCTTCTGTATAGAGAGGAGACAGACATGGTCTGTAGGAAAAGGACAGTCTACAAAGGTTACAGGGGAAAACCGATGTTAGGTTGAGGTATTTAATTGAGCCAGAGGGGGGCTTTTGATTGCTGGACTACAATACTTTGATAGTTAGACCTTGATGGTCAGCCTCAGGAAGAGGAAGTGGCCTAATAAAGGAATAAACTTTGATGGCTAGTTTTAGAAATGTAATCTAATTTTTTTTCTATCTTTTTTTTTTTTTTTTCCCCCAAGGCAGAAGGAATGGGGGAGAAGGGCAAGGCCTGTAGAGCCATGACTGCCATGCTTGAGCTGGACAGAGTTCCTTCAGGGGGTGTAGTTCAGGATAGAGTCTATAAACCTGTTGTGAGTGAGGGCCTATGTTCTATGTCCAGTACAACTGAAAGTCTTCCAGCATGGGTCTCCCCTCCCTTCACCTCTCCTCTCTCCCTTCCCTTCTTCCCTCCCAAGACCCACACATGCAAGGCGTGTGCTGCATCTGACCTATTCCTAGTTCCATCAAGCTCAGGTGGCTGACTGCTTATTTCCTAAATTTGCTACTTCAGCTTGGTGACATTGCCTGTGCTCCACTGACCAGAGACTAGTATTTGCTGGGTTGATGACATGACTGTTGTCTATTTGCCTTTTTAGACTTCGGCTTCAGCAATCTCTTCACCCCAGGGCAGCTGCTGAAGACGTGGTGTGGCAGCCCTCCCTATGCTGCGCCAGAGCTCTTCGAAGGGAAGGAGTATGATGGGCCCAAAGTGGACATCTGGGTAAGTATTGCCCTTCTTACCACCCTGTTCCCCTCTCTAGATGACAGCTGTCCTGCTGTCATTGTGCCACATGTGAGTGGAGAGCACCTTCATGTGTGCTTGCAACCCCCAGTCCACGCAGACTCACATGAGCCTTGGATTCGAACTACTCCCTTTGCATCTGCAGAAGAACCCTGTAAGGGCCTGAGCAGATGGCACCTGTGCCAGGAACAGGGTTTATTCTTTTTGAGAACTGGGTTTTGAAAAATGTTGGGGATATCACCCAAAATTCATGTCTGGAAGCAAAGAAGACTTACTTCTCTGAAGACTATTGACCTTGACAGTGACCCATATTGTGTCAGAAAGAGCAAGACGTTGGTTCTATCATCTTCAGATACACTCTAATGGCCTCTTTTGTTTCCTCTGATGAATTAACTGTCTGTACTTTCTGTTTGGGATGCAGAGTCTTGGAGTTGTCCTCTATGTGCTTGTGTGTGGTGCCCTGCCATTTGATGGGAGCACACTGCAGAATCTGCGGGCCCGGGTGCTGAGTGGAAAGTTCCGCATCCCATTTTTTATGTCTACAGGTAAGGGTGTTGCCAGCACAAAGATATGACTGGGTGGATTCATGGAGAGTCGGGCATGTTAAGTAATTTCAAAAGGGTAGCAGTGGCGGGTAAATGGGCCATTTGACTGCTTTCTCAACTACAGTTTGCCCTAGTTCCTCTGAGAGGCAAGGTTCCTTGGAGCAAGGTAAGCAACTAGCTTTGGCTCAGAGAGCCCTCCCTGTCCTTGAATCTGTACTCTGTTCAATACGAGTGTGTCTGAGTGTTCATACTGTATGGATTAGATGAATCCATGTGTGTCGAGGCAGTGATCCCATCACTTAGTGGTGGTGGGATCAACATTTGTCTTTTCATCTGCCCCCCCCCCACCCTTTCACTGAAGTACAAGAGCTCCTTTGTTAGGCCTCAGATGCCCAGGACAAAGCAGTTTTTGCATCTTAGTCCTGGTGTGGTCTCATTTCCTAGTTCTATCTGTAGTCGTTGTTTGTTTGTTTGTTTTAATTCCTCTAAGTGAGTAGGAAGTAGGATAATTAGCTGTGGAAAAGTTTTAATACAGGAAACACACCAGAAACCCAGATTTTATAATTGCCTGACAACTTAGAACCTATGTGGATTTGACTTTGGTTGGGGACCGGGGGTTGGGGGGAGTGCTGTTAGTTTGTTTTGGGTTTTTTTCTTTCTTTCTTGACCATTTCTATGCATTATAAGAGGTCATGTCTGAGCCACTGTAGAAAGTGGTACCCTTTCCTTTTAAGGAAAGCATGTATACCTTTAAAATAAGTAGGTAGAATGTGGGCTAGCTTTAACTGAGTCATCACAGAACTGGTGACTTGGGAAGTGGTGTGTCAGATAAGGATAAATGCTGTGGGAAGATGGAGTGGAAACCTTTAGGATGGTGGGCGGGAGGTCATTCAAAGGATTACAGTTGGGAAGATGCGGGAGGACCACAGTCCGAAGACCCCAGCGAGGTAGCAACTCAGGGTGTGCCTGAAAGGGTTCAGGATAATGATATATATGGTCTGACCTATGGGGGTTTCTTCTACAAAATTTTATTATGGAAATTTTCAAATAAATTGAAGAGATGTTATAGTAGCTTTTAAAGACAATCACTGCAATTGCTGTACTGCTTGTTGAAAGGAGATTGTAGTGCAGTGCCGTGAAGTGTGCTACAGTGCAGTGCTGTGCTGTGCTGTGCAGTGCAGTGTAACCCAGTGCTGTGTATTGTGCTTTACTGTGTAGTGTATTGTAGTGCAGTATGATGCAGTGTAGTGCAGTGCTGTGTAGTGTAATGCATTGCAGTGCTGTGTAGTATGCATTGCTGTGTGGTGTAACGCAGTGCTGTGCATTATGCTTTGCTGTGTAGTGTAATGCAGTGTTGTTCAGTGCTGTGTAGTATAATGCAGGCCCATTGAAGACACTTGTAGCAAGGGAGCCTGGTTGGTAGGAGAGAACACATGGGCACTGAGGTTGGCTGTTCCCAGGCTGAGGAATAGGTGGGTTGGGGGACACTACTGCATACTGCACAGCAGGCATGTTGAAAGCATTTTACAAACATTAGCTTCCTTCAAGTATTATGAGCTTCGTAAGGTTGTCACCCCCACTGCACAGATGATACCAAGGTCAGGAGAGGTTAAGCAATTTTCCCTAGATAACACAGCTAATAAGTGGCTGGACTAGAATTTGAACCCAGGCAGCCTATCTCCAATAATGTTTGGTGTTGGATTTTATGTAAAGACAGAATAATTACAGGTAACTCTTAAGGTTTTTTACCTGAGCAGCAGAAACAATGAGGATAGCTGGAAGAAAATAGTTAAAATTTTAGAGATGGTTTTAAAGATGTCAGGTTCTAGGTGCCTATTAGCCATTTAAATTGAGGTTCTGGTTGTCAGTTGAATTTAGGAATAATTACTAACTTAAGATATCTATTTGAAAATCATCAATGTATAATGTCTAATGCTTACTCTCTGGGCATGGAAGAGGTGCCAAGGATTTTAGAGATCAGCAAAGTGAACAGGGATCGGAAGAATGGTTAGCAAAGAAAGCCAGAGTCCGCTTGTCTTGAAGACAAGTGAAGATGTCCCAGGAAAGAGGGAGTGAGATGTTGTGGGAGGCTGAGGCAGAGAGCAGAGAACTGACTGCTGAACCGAGAAGAGTAGAGGTCACTAGTGAGGTTTTGGAGCAGCAGGAGCAGGCTCTCAGATGGTGTGTGTGGAACAGAAGCAGAACGGAAGAACAGACAAGGACCAAGCCTCGACTTTTTCTAGCTTGACTGTACAGTGATGGAAGCAGAGAAGTGTGTCTGGATGGCTCTCTCCATGGTCATCAGGCGTCCTGACAGAAGCTCTATTTCCTCATTGTCTTAGTGATTGCCCAATATTATTTAGCACTTTACCATTCCCTACTAGGAGAAAAAAAATAGAATACTTATGTTCACAGCAGAATTGAACTGAAGGGACAGAGGATGCCCATAAGCCCTCTCCCCACAGCCTCTCTATTACCCACCCCGAGACACACACACACACACACACCCTGTCACTCAGAGCCTGTAGTTTGTTTACATTAGGGTTCGTTGTGGGAGTTGTGAGTCCCTGGGTTGTGACAAGTTTATAAAGACATTTATCCACCAGAGTCATCATACAGAGTAACCTCACCTCTGGGATGATCCTGTGTGCTTCTCCTATTCTTCCTCCTTCCTCCTCTCTCTCCCAACTGGCAGTCTTTGGTCCTTTCATACATTTTTCACTTGTCCAGAATGTGATGTGATATGATTGGACACACACTATGTGGCCTTTTGCATTGACCTTTACCTTAGGAACACATACAGGCATATCCGGTCTCTTGTGTCTTGCTAGCTCATTTCACTTTAATGCTGAGTAATACTCCCTTGTTTGGATGTACCATAGTTTATCCTTTCGCCCACTGGCGAGTGTCTTGGTTGCTTTCCAGCTTTGACAGTTACAGCAAGTCACTGTAATGTCCTTGTGCAGACACACATTTTCAGTTCACTTGAGTAAACTCCAAGGTGCATGAGTGTGAGGCTGTGTGGTAGGAGCTTGTTTAGATCTGTAATAGACTGCCCACTGCCTTCCAGAGAGCTGTGTAGTGTTGTTGTGAATGAGAGTTCTTACTGCTGCACGTCTCACCAGCTTTTGCCTTTAAGTGTTGGGCATGTCCTCTCTCACAGATGTGTGGTGGTTCTTATTTTAATTTGCAGCTCTAGCTCTAGGGTCTGTGGTTATGAGTATCTTTTCATTTGCTTCTTTGCTATCTGAGCATCTTTCTTGAGGTGTCTCATAGGGTCTTCATTTTTTTCCAAGAAAGTTTCACAGTGTTTCCCAGGCTGCCTTTGAAGATCTTAAGTAATCCTTCTGTCCCAGTCTCCCAAGAATCTGAGATATCTCCCTCCCTCCCTCCCTCCCTCCCTCCCTCCCTCCCTCCCTCCCTCCCTCCCTCCCTCCCTCTCTCTCTCTCTCTCTCTCTGGTATGGTCTGGGGAGTTCTTTAAGTAACAGTCCTGACTGTCCTGGAACTGACTCTGTAGACCAGGCTGGCTTTGAACTCACTGAGATCCACCTGCCTCTGCCTCCCAAGTGCTGGGATCAAAGACTTCTCTTTTTTTTTTTTTTTTTTTTTTTTGTTAGGGTTTTTCACTGTCTTCTACATTTTTCTTACGGCTTCTGAGACTCATGTTCTCTGTCCTCTGAGTAAACTAACTTAGTGGTCTCTGCCAGCTTTCTTGTTCTTGTTTATCGTTTAGATCTCCTCTTGTTCACATCTTCTGAGCCATCATTTTTACTGCCATGGCTTCTCTGATCACTATTAGGAGCAGCCCCCACTTAACTGTCAATTTCCGAATTCTCTCCTGAGGTCTAGCACTAATTTTCAACCATTTGCTACCTAGCATCTTTTTAAAACTTTGGTTTTTTGTTTTGTTTTTCAACACAAGATTTCTCTGTAGCTTTGGAGCCTGTCCTGGATTTACTCTGTAGCTAGCCCAGGCTGACTTTGAACTCATAGATCCTCCTGCCTCTGCCTCCCCAGTGCTGGGATTAAAGGTGTAGTGCTAAGAATTGAACCCAGAGCCTTGAGTGTGTCAGGCAGGCACTCTACCACGGGCCTGCAAGCTTTTGTTGTTCAGTGTGTTCGTTCCCCTTTATTTTTGAAGTCACAAAATGAACTTCATTCCCTAGTCACAAATTTTCTTTGTTGTCTGCTGTCTCAGTGAATTCTGTCCCCTTCTTGTTTCTTCTCTTAGTAGAGAAGGGCCAATTGGTTATCCAAGGCTGTACAGTCAGTCCCCCCCCCCCATTCGTATAACCACTGTATAGAACTTGTTGCCATCTTTCTTTCCTTGCCTAAATTAAGCAGTGGTCAAATCTGTGGATTTTTAGTTTCAGCCTTATATATTCTCCATGTTTTTGCCTGAGAAACTTTTGCAGACAGAAATAATAACACCTACACCATGCACACATACTTCCCATGTGCATACACACAAACACACAAATCTGATCATATCATTCTGTAGTTTAAAATGTTTCAATGGTTTACAATTGCCTCAAAGTCTACTCCTAATATGTCTAAAGCACTGAATTTCAAGCATATTTTTTACAAGAACCATAATAAATACATTTTATGCTATAACCCAGAACACACATATACACATGTGAAAAAAATCAAAGACAGAGTCATACTGTATAGCCCAGGCTGATTTTAAACTCAAGATCCATCTACCTCAGTCTCCTGAGTGCTGGAGTTATAGACTGTCACCAGCCCCACCCCAAGAGGTCCCTGCTCCAATACTGGGGCCAAACCTAGGGCTTTACTCAATTAGCCAATATCACCAGGCAGCCTGCCAGCATTTTTAAAGAGCAAAGCCTACTTTTCCTATGGGCATCACACCCCGATATATTTTATTCTGTCCCTTAGATGTTGATTGCAACTTCATGAATTGATATTGCAGCCAGTGTTTGTAAAACAGTAGCAGTAGAACTCCTTTGGGAGCTGGCCCCTACCTTGGTTAGA